CCTTATAGAGGAGGCGTGTCAAACCCGACAGGAAGGTCTCGTGTTCAGTAGAGCCCAGAGCGTCCTTGGCACGTTTTTTACGTTCCTCCTTCCCTGACGCTGCCTGACTGGCCAACAGGTTCAGTTTGATACCGTGCGGCTGCTGTGGTTTCTCCTCCTGCTTGGCAGGCCTTGCCGCCGGAAGAACAGAATAACGCCTTAGAAGGGCATTAATAAAGTTTTCATCCTCTTGTCTTCTACCTCCAACATTGGCAACCCTTCGCAGGCTCTCCAATGCGCCTTCAGAGTTGGTCAATTCCCAGGCCAGATACCTGTTCATCATCTCTAGGCTCTTCAGTTTCCGCAAACCCTCACGCACACAGGCCTCACTGCAACACCTAGCGAGCGTCAAAGAGCAGCGTATTTTCACACTGAGTGTGGAGGCCTTGAGACAATCAACCAACTTTGGCACCATACCTTCGGTCCAGACGGAGATTCTGAAGTACTTCTCTTGACAACACACCTCCAGGATCCCCATGATATATTCCAAAACCTCTGGAAGAGCTAGAGCGATTAGCCTGCCGAGGACGGAAACCATGCCAGTCTCGCGCATAGCCCGACGACCCTCGGGACTCCTAGAGCAGGCCCCCAGGGCACTGCATATTGTTATCAGCAGGTTGTCAATCGGTTTGCGTTTGCGTTCGGTTCTGCGTTCAAGGGTCTTGAGGGATGCGCCCAGTGTAACAGAATTGCGCCTGTTTGTTGCAGTTAGGAAACGCATTTCCCGGACGCCTGCGTTGTGGATTTCTTGGAGCCTTTGTGTGTACTCATCAAGCATGCAGACAAAAAGTGGGACTCCATCCTTGGCACAGAGTTTTTTGCGAGCCTTTTTGAGGATGCAAAGCTTGGTGAGGATTTTGGCGGCAGATCGTTTTATTTGTTCATTTGGTTGATGCAAATTTTCCAGGAGGGCCTCGATGCCGCCCAGGTGGACAATGAGACGAGCAAAGTAGGCTATGGTAGACAGCTTGAGGAGGACACGCATTGCACCAATCTGGACCGGTGGGTCCTCTACAGAGAGGAGATTTAACAAAAGGGTGGT